GGGGACCCTAGAGGGCATTATGCTGAGTGAAATATTTCAGTCATAAAAGGACAAATACTGCATAACACTGCTGTTATAAAATACAACAGACATTTTATATTCTGGGGGGTTGGGGAAGAATAGGGAAAGACTTGATAATGAACACTGCATTAAAACAGATGAAGGCATACTGCACTGAAACAGATGAGGGAGAGGATAATTTAAAAGCGATGTATGATAAGGTATTATGGTTATCACAAGAGTCCATAATTAAGGTTGCAGAGTGGAATGTACTTGGGACGGTGGGAGGGGTGCAGGGGGACTGTGTACCAGGGAGGGAGTTTTTCTCTTTTCAAAAAGAGGAGCGAAGTTGGGGGATGCGGGAGGGCTGGGTGGGAAGAGAAGTGCAGCATTGAATGAATGGAAATCCAAAATCTCTGTAAATGTTTATTAAAATTATTAAAATTAAAAAAAATTTTATCGGTTCGAATCCACCAGATGCTCTGCCGGGGAAGGAGGGACAATCTCCTCCTGTACCAGTCAGATCTGATTTGACGGTACACTCACACAAAAATAAAATAAATAAATAAATACAATTTTTATAAAAAAACCCCAAACAGATGAAGGCAAAAACTATCTGAAAGGAATATGATTACGCATTACATGTGTGAGAACAATCAGGAACAAGGGGTGCACTACAAAATGGGCTGCGGAGGGGAAGGGAACAAGAAAATATGCAACAGTGAATAAAATAATAATTTTATACACACACACACACACACACACACATACACACACATACACACACACACACACACGTATATATATGTATGCATGTATGTATGTAAGTAATTACAGCAACAATGACCCAAAATTTATGTTAGGAGAAAACACAGATAAACAAATCAATGTAACATATGGAAGTCTACAGAAGAAAGAAGGGCCCTCTCCTCCCGTGAGATTTCCAGTCTCTGAAAACCCAGAGGAGGGTCAGCTATAAGTTGAGTCTGACTCGATGGTACACAGAAGCAGCAACAACATACATAAGGTTCTAGAAATAAATATAAACTTACAAAAAGTCTAAAACAAACCAGAAAAAAATAAAGCAATGGGAAAAGAGCCAATTGTTCTAACAGCCTGAAATCTGGAAAACTATGGAAGCAAGTTTTTCCTCCACAGCATACAAAAAAGTGAACAAGTTACACATAAACAAGTTGGTTTGTGGGTTGCGTTGTTTTTTTTTTGCCAACAAGTTTTGATGGAAGGAAAAGTTATACTTAAAGAGTTCACATGAGCTGGAATCAACTTCACATAGTGAATTTTTTAAGAAACCAGAAGAGTGCATTAAATAAAGGCACAATTTTTTTAAAAGATAATTTAAAAAAAAGATAATCATGTAAAGTGTCAATAGGCAGATTGTATTTAATCAGTGCATAGGAAATACAAGTATGTAATAACATCCAAGTTCATTGGCAATAGAAAACAAAACTTAACTCATAGTAGCAAAAAAGTAAAGTAACCATGTTGATGGGGCCACAGAGACACACGGGTACAATAATTAACTTGCTAAATATATTATAAATTGGTTATCTAATTCAGGAATAGCTTTACATTATAAAACACAAAAGCTACACAAAAGCTTCAGAGGTAGCCATTCATTTCTGAGAACTGGAGTTATCCAAAGGTATAATTCCAAGACTAGCTTTGGTAAAAGTTCAGTTGTTGACTGCCTTTGAGTTGAGCATGACTCACAGCAACACTATTAACAAAAGGCCTGAAGCGCTTCTACAACTATGGACATTTACCGAAGTTCACAGAGTTTCTGGAGGCTTGTTGTTTAGGAAGTGGTTGCAAAGCTGTCTTAAACTGGGAGCTTCACCAAATAGTGTCCACCATGGGAACCTGTTACAGCATTTGACACCCCAATGGCACAAGGTTCAGCATCACAGAAACCTCAAGTTACCTCAGTACAGTATATTGACAGAAGAGTGCTGTACCACTAAGAATGTTCCTCCAAAATATAACAACCAACTTTAAATACAAAGGCCATCCCCAAGGCTTAAAAAAAACACACCACCAAACCACAAAAATCAACATAGCATGTTATTGTTGTTATGTGCCGTTGAATCGCCTGTGATGCATAGAGACCTTATGTACAGCACCTCTGAACCCTTCCTTGTCTTGAGCCAGTTTTCACTAATTCACACCAACCCCCACTACCCCAGATACTGTGTCAATCCACCTTATCTGGGGTCCTCCTCTCCTGCACTGTCCATCCACCCTTCTGAGCATGATGTCCTTCTCCAAGGATTGGTCTCTCCTGGCCACGTACCCAAAGTAAGTGAGGCAGAGCTTCAAAATCCTAGCCTCCAAGGAGATTTGGTTTCACCCTTTCCAAGACAGACCAATTTGTTTTCTTGGCAATCCATGGTATGGTCAAGAATTTCTCCAGCACCACAACTCGAAGGCATCTATTCTTCTTCTGTTATCGTTAGTCATTGTCCAGCTCTCTGAAGCATAACAAGTAATTGAGAAGACCATGGCCTGGACTAGGTGCACCTTTGTATCTAGACAGACACCGTTGCTCTTCAGCACTCTAGAGAGGTCCATTACAGCCGATTTCCCCAGTGCAATTTGTCTTTTGATTTCCTGACTGCTGGTGTTAAGTGTGTTGACTGTGGATCCGAGCAGGTTGTAACTGCTAACAATCTCAATCTCTTCTCCATCTATCATGGTGCAGCCAGTTGTCCCAGTAGTGTGAGAATCTCTGTCTTCTTGATGCTGAGCTTCAATCCATACTGAAGACTCCAGTCCTTGACTTTTTGCAGCAAGCACTTCAGGTCCTCCTCAGTTTTAGCAAGCAAGGTTGTATCACCATATCATAGGTTGTTCATGAATCTTCGTCCAATCTTGATCCCACACTCCTCCTTGTAAAGCCATGCTTCTTGAATGATCTGTTCAGCATTCTTAATTGTGAAAAAGTTACAATCACCCAGTTACTCAAAAGAGCAAGTCCAGCTGGGAAGCAGTGAGTCATCTGGAAAAAGGAGAACAGGCCACAGTCCGGTGTGAGGAAAAGAGAGGTGAAGACGCAGGAGAGAGATGAATGACTCGGTTAAGTTCATGGCCTACTTGTCAAGTTTCAAAGGAAGAAGGCACTGCTTTCTCTCATATTTGCGTATTAACAATGGGAATTGTAGTGCAACAATGAATGAATAGAAACCCCAAATCTCTGTAAATGTTTATGAAAATTAATAAAATATAATTATAGAAAAAAAAACAATGGGAATTGGCATCACTGTCAATGATAGTGAATATGCATTATATGGGCCTTATTTTTCTAGATAAAAATGATGAAGAAGGAATAAAAGTCAAGGAGAATCCCTATGATGTAGCCAGGACCTGACATGATAAAATGACTGTTAAAAAATGTCTAATGAAATGACTATCTAGTCATAACTCAGAAATGTGCGGTGAGGAAGATGAACGCTGGGCTGCTGGGAAGCAGTTCAACACTAGAATCCCAGGAGGTGCCACCCTGTTTGGCCCAGGCCGTGCCCTTGACGAAGGCTCACGGAGCAGCTGTGCACAGGGAGGTCTTCACGCACCTACACAAACTGGTCAACCAAGCACAATGCTCTGATGTGAATTCGTAACATTCCGAGGACTAAGACCCAAGGTTACAACTCTGTTCTCCAAAACAAGGAATTAAAGAGATTAAGGCAGGGGAAAGGGTTGGAATACCAGAAAGTATCCTAGAACTGGAAGCAAAAACAGAAGAAAAATGCTAACATTCAAACATGTCTGGAGCAAGATCTTGGTCCAGTTTCTGAGAGCCTCAAACCAGTCAAGTTCAAGTCCTCATTTCTTCCGTTTTCAGGTGAAAACAGAAGGCATTTGCAATGGTACTTCACAGAGGCAGCAGGATTCAAGGAATAAAAACATGCATGACAGACTCATGTGGTTTAGACTGTTTCACAGCCTACAACTACTATGAATCCTAGGACTATCCAGTCAAGACAGTTCTACAATGCAGAATATTAACACAAGAAACAGCTCTAAGCCCTAAAGTGACTTAAAGATTTCAAGACAGAAACACACAGTGCAAGGTGGGAAGACAGTATTAGGAAACCGGAAACTTTTGTTCTGTTGTTTGTTTTTTTTTCACTTGGGCCACCCTGAAGACAAACTCTGTGCTGTTTATCAAGGTAACATCACACCATGACCATGAACTGCGTTCATTTCCCTTCAGTAATTCCTAATCAGAAAGCAGAGTTCAGTGCCCCTTTCCTGCCATCATCTGAATCTCTCTTTCCCTTTGGTTTTCTGTTCTTCTTTTCTTTCTCTCTCTTTATTTCTTCAATAATTAGAAATGAGCAGCTCAAATTCATGACAATCCTAATTGTCAATATTCACAAAAATACAGCAAGACCCAAGCAAAACTTTTTCTAAGTTATCAGGTACTTAGGAACAATGTGATCAAGAAATCGTGTTCATGGACACACATTTAAAAAACAAAAACACAACACCAGCAGAAAAGTCTGGAGTCAGATGGAGAGAATGATGGTGTGTTTTCCAAGCTCTCTATCATCTGCTAGTGGGTAAGGACACAGGAAGCCACCCGAGTGCTGGAAGCCTCTGCCTCATCAGAATCTACATCTTGTAACAGCATCCAAGCTGAGCAGCCTCCAGGCATCAATGAGGCTGCCACCCTCTACAGGCCTCAGCAATTTGAGACACCAACGCCACAAGGTATTTGGCCATACTGTATACGCGTCTTTCCAAACTGCACAGCACTGGCTAAAATGGGGTCACAACAGTTCATCTAGGAGAAACTCGTTTGAAAGGTATGTACAGGTCAGAGTCCTAGGCCAATTTAAAGAGAAAGAACATACAAGAAAAGGAGATACTGAATTTTAAGACTGAATGACTTGAAAACAAAATCCCAAGGGAGCAACCGCGGGAGACCCAAATGCCGAAGTCCTGGGGTGGGTCCCCGCTGGCCCTGCAGGCAGACTAACCGTGGCCCATTTCCGTCTGGGCGTAGGTGCCAATTATCTGGAGGTCTTGGGATGGAGACAGCCATTTCTCCTGCTGAGCAGTGGTGCCCAGATTCATCAAGGTGGGAATAAACATGGAGTAATTGAGGCCCACAGGTTCCACAAAATTGACCAAATGCAGTCTACAGGAGAGAAAAGAAAAGGGTCTCAGCCTCTCGCCGACCGACAGTGAACTCACCACCCCCTGCTGCCGAACGGTTCTGGCCTTCAGGATAAAAGGAGGGAAAATCCAACCTGGTTTTCAATGTGTACACAGAATGTACCCTTTTATTACCCAAAAAATACAGCAGAACCTGCTCTCTCTTCCTCTCCTAGCCTTTCCAGGACCAGAATCCTGTCACATTCTCTATTTTGTCTAGAAAGCTAAGTTCCCACCTAAAATGTTCTGCTTTTTGTTTTGATGGTGTTAGCTGTTGGACTTTTTAGTGTATATTTATGTTCTTATTTTGGGCTTTATTTGGTTTTAAGAATCAAAAGGAATTCCACTGAACACTCTCTGACAGTGTTAGGAAAGAGCTTCCTAAAGAATGATTTTAAGCACTCTTTGCCTAGGTAAACTAAGAAACTGGAAATACAGGCTCATTAACCCCTAAAGGTGGTCAGGGTACATAGTGCTAATAAGGTAATGTAAGTCAGTCAAGAACGTACTTCCCCTGGCCTGGAAACAGCTCTGCAAATAGAGGGATGCTCTCGTCACAAAGAAATCCAGAGCTAAACTATCGTCTCATAAAATGAGAAACCTGTGACATAGTCAAAATAAAAATTATACAAAGTCTCTGTAAATTTTTCATTAAAATTTTAAAAAATTATAAAAAATAATAAAAAAAGGAACTGTAAAAAAAAGTATACATGCTAGAATGTGTTAGGTGTATTGTATTACACATAGGAGTCACAGCAGTCTACTTTCTACTTCGAGACAGATACACCCACCCAAAGAGGTGGAAGTACAAAGCATCTAACAGATCTTGGTGACACTCCAGGATAAAGTGCAAGTGGTGGCACCACCAACTTACCCTTGTTATGAACAGAGCATAAGTGAAAGGGCAGAAGGGCAGGTTATCAGTCTACTTTTGGGGAGGTCCTAGAACCATTCTACTATCTAAAAAAAAGCAACAGTAAACATCTTATTTTCCTATATCCTAAATGAAAACTATTCAAATGATCTTTCTTTTCTACCTCCACAAATCCCAACTCATCTGGACATAAATAACTCTCCCTTAAGATGCCCTTGCTGTAATGAGCTCACAGTGGCAATGGAACAACGCAGCCTGCGTGCTCCTGTGCCATCCTACGAGCAGCATTCCATCTGTACCTCTTATGAAACGGAGGTGTTCATTATTCTGGAGTTCACAGCAAACTCAACATTCTCCACCATGGAGAGTGTTGTGGTGTGTACCATCGAGTCAGAACCCACAGCTGACCCTCCAGTGGTTTTTTTTTTAAATTTTTATTTTATTATTTTGTGTGTGCATCTACCGTCAAATCGGGTCTGACTGGTACAGGAGGAGATGGCCCCTCCTTCTCCGGCATAGCATCTGGTGGATTAGAACCGTAGATCTCTGGGATTGCAGTGCAGCTTCTTGCCACTAGGCCACCAGAGCTCTCCGTCCAGTGGGTTTTTAGAAGTAGTAAACTGCACGGGACAAGACTGCTCATCCTTCTCCCACACATCAGCTGGAGGACGTGAACAGAGTGCTCTCAGGACTGCAGTGCAGCTTCTTGCCGCTAGGCCACCAGAGCTCCCTACGTCCTAAGCTATGGATGTAGTATTTATCAATTCCACCATGGAGTACCGTCCATGCCCTAAGTCTAGAGTTCAAGTCAGCAGAGGAGCACACTGAAAGCACGTGTTTCTGCTGGTGGCGGCGGCAGGCATTCGTGAGTGTGGATGATCACCTGGGGATGCTGGCGACAGAGTCATTCAGATACCAAGAGATGGCCAACACCTAAAATGCTTTTTCACCCTGGGATTCTAGTTTCTGGATGTTGCAAACAGTTAAAAAACTAAAGCATATAAACCACAAGGTTGGTGGCTTGAGCCCATCCAGAAACCAACCTCTTGGAAGAGGCCTGGTGATTGGTGCCTGAAGTTACAGCCTTCAAAATCCTATGGGATGCAATTCTGCTCTGTGGACAATGGACACATGAGTGGGAATGAACTGAAGGGGTTATCTGAGTATCTCAAGTTCACTCAAGCTGACCGAAGGGAAGCAGGAGAAAGAGCAGTATGAAGAGGGGAAGGATTTCATTTCCAAGCAGTTCAGACCAGGAGCAGCTGAGTATCCTGGCATGGATTTAACTCACCTCACCAAACGCACCGCACCTGACAGAGCAATCCCATCACTTAACTACCTTCCCAAACTCCCTTAGTGCGTTTATACAGGAGAAATGGATACAGAGTAACTTCTGGGGGGAAATTTAAGAGAAAAGGAGAAACTTAAGTGCTGCAAATAGAAAAATACAAGAAATTCTTATTTCCATCAGGGAGCTCTGGTTGGCACAGTCGTTAGGAAGCTGCACTACTAAGCAATAGGTAGCTCTGCTGGTTCAAATCCACTGGCGGCTCTGTAGGAGAAAAGTGGGCAATCTCCTTCTGTGTATGGTTTATGGCCAAATAAAACGAAAATCAGCTGTAGGTCACTTCTGACTTAACAGCAATGACATTCTCATTAGGGAATTGAGAAAGCTAACTCAGAAAGACAATCGGAGGTTTATAAAATCATGATACAAGAACAAAGAGGAAATCGCAGCAAGTATCTATGTTTTTAATGACAGGCTGTGACATTTTTTGAGGATATATGAAAATAAAGAACAAAAATCTGACAGTTTTTTGGTTGGTATTATTATTATTATTTTGTGTGTATGTGCATCAAATCGGATTTGACTGGCATAGGAGGAGACTGCCCCTCCTTCTCCAGCAGAGCATCTGGTGGATTTGAACCCTGTAGCGCTGGGATTGCAGCGCAGCTTCTTGCCACTAGGTCACCAGAGTTCCTAGACAGCTAGTTTTTCAACTCTGTTTAATCATCCTTCCTGGAGATTTTTTTTTTAAACAAACACAAACTGAAACAAACAACAAAATAGCTTTTTTAAAAACAAAAAGAACATTCTACACCTCCTCATGGAAATATTTGTCACCTAGAACACTCTTTCTCCCACCCTCAAATATAGAGCTTTTAAAAAACTAAAAAGAGTAACAAACCCATGACTGATTCTCATTAGAAATTTAAACTCTTAAAAATATTTTAGTTTTCTTTTCACAGCAAATGGTAGAAACCTGAAGGAAAAAAAGTATGGGGGAAAAAAAAAAGAAAAAATTTATAGGAAAGATGATTACAAAACCAACTTTCATAGTCTTCAAACACAAGGTTTACTTTCTCAAGGACTTGAAGGAACAGTTATTTTAGATACCTGCTGAGAATCTCAAAGTGGTATAGTAATATTCAGTCAATTTTAAGGTAATCTCATCAATAAAATTATTTAAAAAAAGGTTTTATTTTGAGATAAGAAAAAAAATGGGTGCAAAAGAGACTAATAAATACCAAAAATTTCCAGAAAGGGAGATGTTACTGTATCTTAATTTCCTCCACCCTTTTTAATGCCACATTTTAGGATTTAAGAAACCTTGAAATACACTCCAGGTGATTGGCATAAGTTTCTTTTTTTACTTAATAAAACACTGGTGGGATTGATAATCATTAAAAGTCTTGGCCTTCAGTGAGCTCTGGTGGCCTAGAGGCAAGAAGGTGTACTGCAATACCAGAGGAGCACCGTTCAAATCCACCAGATGCTCTGCTGGAGAAGGAGGGACAAGCTCCTCCTGTACCAGTCAGATCTGATTTGACGGTACGTACGTACACACACGTACACACACACACACACACACACACACACAATAATAAAAGAAAAAAAAGTCTTAGACTTCACTGAGGCATTGAACATTCCAAAGCTCATTTTTTAAATCCTCCTCTCCAGCCTACACTGATCTCCCAAACTAATCCTAGCAATACGGAAAAGAATGTCAAAGGTTATATAAAAGTCTGCCTATTCAGACACCTAAAACGTATGTGCAAAAGAATTCTACTAACTCAGAATAGAGTAATTCTTATTCCTAGAAGAAGAAAAAAGTCTATTAAATACCACACAATGGTTTTTTTTAAAAAAACACAGATATACAAAAGAAAGTGGCTGGTGCTCACTGATCTTTGACTTGAATGGACTTCGTTCTATTTCATTATGACTTCACCAACACCCCAGGTTATGAAATCTTCTCCCGGACTCTGATCCACCACTTCACCACTGTTACCAAGCTTCTTTGTATTATTTTCAGGAGGGACAAAAATCTCACCTTTTTTACAATTTCCCCTATTCAACTCAAGGAACTGAAAAATATCATCCTGAAGGAGTCACCCGACAGAAGAATTCCCACAGCCATGAATCATGAACTTTAAAAACAGCATTTGTAAGTTACTGAGTTTCTGATTTGCGTTAATTCCCAAAACAAATAAAGAAAGAAATTAAATTTTTCTAACTAGGTGAGCCATCCTAAAAAATTGCAAATAATTTTACCTCAATAACAACAACTAATAGAAAATAATTAGGCACTAAATGGAACAGAACCAACAGTGACTCGGCAGAATGGCTGTCACTTTTCTTGATCCTTTAATATATCACACTCATACCAGGTAATCACTATTGATGAAAACACTAGTATGCTTCTAAAAAGCAGAAACTTCAAGGGAAGAACCAGCCAGGAATAAATGAAAAGTAAGCGGGATACCATAAAACAAAATAACCGTGTACTAAGATCATTCTAGTGATGGTGCTGTGTGTCCCCATGGAGGAATCAACGCATGGCTGACCCTCCAGGAAGTTTTCAGTAGTGGGAAATCACATGGGTAAAATCAACCAATCAATCAATCCCAATGTGGTACCCCTCATTTTTTCCTTCTGAGCAGCTGGTGGATTCAAACTGCCTGCCATTGGGTTGGCAGTGTGACTCCTTAGCACTAGGCCACCAGAATGCTCTAAGATAATTTAATAATGGTGTTATAATGATGGAGATTAAGAGAAAAGAATTTTAATTGAAAAGCAAGTTTATAAAAGGATAGCCTGAAGAAAACACAAACCTCCTTGGCCCTCAGCTCCCAGGGATGTTTTTATGTGGTTTCTTACTGACAAGGGGCCCTTTTCAGACCAGATTCAGTCACAAGATTCAACAGCAAGAGGGCCTTAGGATATTTCATATCCATCCTGAGCTTGTATCTTCTTTACCCACCTCCACATTTTCCAGTTATCTTAAATTCAGGTCTACAGTAGCACACGAAAACAGAAGCTGCTGTTGCCCCAAAACCTGGAAATACTTGGGATTCAGTAAACAAAACATACTTCCAAACTTGGCTTCTGAGTATATAGCAGGTTAATATACAAAGAGCAAAGCCCTTTTGCATTGAGATGCCCCAATGCCCCTTTGAGACAGCAAATGCACCGTCCACTGCCAACCTTGCTGTCCACATACGAATAAAGCTGTCAAACAGGACAAGAGAGGACATCACTTAGGGACTTCCCGGTCTGGGCTGCTGGCACCTGTTCTAGGCGGGGCACCTACTTTTTAAACCACATAATTTCCTCAGGGTCTGCGATGTGGAATTCTCTCATCTTCTTCACCATGTTGGAGCTCTTCCTGACCGCCACCTCATAGCGCTGGCTGCGACTTAGGAAGTTCGGGTCCTCATGCTGGAAGTCGGGGTCGTTCAGGATCAAGTTCTCTGCAAGAGAGCAAAGTGCAGAAAAGAGGAAGACAAGTTCAAGGTCCCTGAATCAGAAGTTGGTTTCTCCATCGCGGGCAGAGGGGCCCCTTTCTGGACAAGTGTCTCCCCAGCCCCTAGTGCTCCAGGAAAGGGGAGTCTCGGCTGATCGAGAGGTTGGGGGGAGCTGATGGAGAGACTGGGGGGAGCCGATCGAGAGGATGGGGGGAGCTGATCGAGAGAGGCTGGGGAGAGCTGATCGAGAGGTTGGGGGGAGCTGATCGAGAGGATGGGGAGCTGAGCGAGAGGATGGGGGAGCTGAGCCCCCCAGTGCCCGTCCCCCGACTCGCATCGAGCGCGGCCCCGCCGCCCTCACCGATCTCCCGCCGGCGACGAGTGCTTTCGGGGCTGCCGTCCAGCACGTTGGTGAGCAGCTCGGGGTTGAAGCTGGCGCCGGCCCGCTCCCTGCGCAGGTCTGGGTTCATGGTGACGGCTGGTGGCGGTGACAGCTGGCGGCGGTGGCGGCGACGATAGGTGTCGGTAACTCCTGCGCAGTCGGGGCCCTAAGAGCAGCCCCGGGACAGCGGAGTCCCCGCCCCCAGGTCGGCCCCGACCCGCCCCTTCTCCCGGCCCGCGGGCCTTGGCGCGTGACCCGCGGAGAGAAGCGGGCGCAGGTCAGCGCCCTGCCCTTCGGGCTGCCCGCGAGGTGGGCAAACCCTCTGATCTCGGCCAAGGGAGGCCCGCGAGTGGCCGTCCGAGGAGGGGACCCCACCAGCGGTCGAGAAGTAGGCCAGAATCGGGACAGGGGCCCACAGAAGGGAAACTCTGGGGGTTCGCGCCCCTCCCTGGCCACGTGACCACTTGTGGCGGAAGGCCGAGCGGCGCGGGCACCGCCCACAACAGGTTGGCTCGAGGACGGAGGGGCGGGGCGGAAATAGGACTGCGCCTGCGCTCTGCGCTCTCCCCGCCTCTTCCGGTGTCCTTGCGTGAAGGGTTCCCCCGGAAATGAGGTGGGGAAGGGCGTTCAAGGGCCCGGGGTCCTGAGCGTGTAGAACTTGCACAATTGCTAGGGAAGCTCTTGGAATTTTCCCAGACCTGTTCTGTTGGAGGGGGGTGGGGGGGAAAGACAGTGACAAAGGCGCTTTTCTTTTACTTGTTATAATTTATTTACAATGTTTACACTCTTTGTTTCTACAGTACAGGTTTTTTTTTACATAATGGCAAATAGTTCTGAAATCAGGATACAATGGATGACATGGCAATGATCAGAAAACTTTTTGTTGACATCTTTTCTAAAACCAAAGCGGAATCCCAGCAAATAGTTGGCTTTTCTTAAGATAGGAGCACCTTTGCTTTTGGATATTTGAACTGTGGGGACTTGGCGTGTGGTTTCCCGGCGCTCCCCTCTGTTTAAGGATTGGGCGTGCACGTGAAATGGGACTGGACTGGGAATGTGCTCGGAGGTCTTGAAATGCAGACATTTTTGTTTGATTTCGTTATTGTCACAAAGCTATAAAAGTCCATTTTTTGAAAGCTCAGTACAAGAGGAGTTGTCTTATCCTCAGTGGCAACCACTTTTAACCTGTTGCTAAATAATTGGCAAATAGTATTTAAATACTATGCCTTAATTTGTCAATTTCAGCTGTTTTGATTGAACACGATAATGAAATGACATATTGCGTTGGGTAAATCTGTCAAGTCTGAGTGCCTCTGACTCAGGCCAGGCTCTTACAAAATACTTGTTATGCATGTAAAGGGGTTGGAATCCAGCTTGAAAGTCATCTGCAGGAGCCGGGTTCTGAAGAAGCGTGTTGGCTGGGACTGGTGAGCGTTAGGGTGGAATGGTGATTCTCTAAGGGAAGGGAGACAATATGATAAGGCCTCCTATTTAAAAACCCTTTTGGTCGGCAGTATGGGGCTGGAATCCAGTTTGAAAGTCAAACTTGTGGTAAAGTTAGTCGTGGTTACTGTGATGCTAAACACTGTGACACTGATGTGCCAAATGCAATAACGGTTACCCATGCTCGACAGTGTTCGGTGGAGCTTCCCAAGTAAAACAAGCTTGGAAACAGGAGTGGCATCCACTTCCGAAATGGCTTGCCTCCAGAACCTCTATGAACTTGGAGAAACGACCAAAGTTATACAAGTATTCAGGTCTTTTGTTCATAGGGTCTCTATGAGTTGTCTATGACTTGATTACACTTAACAGCAGCATGCATCAGAAGGTTGAACAGTGCCTTAAGAATAACAGATGGGCCTTGCTTGGGGGCGGGCGGGCGCCCCTTCTTCAGGGCCGCTGGGGTCCTGAGCTTCCCAGAGGCCAAGTGCAGCTACTGGCCGACAAGCGAGGGCATTCCCCCCCAGATGGCCGAGATCCGATGGGGTCTGGTTGTGACGTGCGGCCTCCTTCCCAGCTGGCATCTATGACAAGGTTGCTGGGGAGATCCAAAGAAAGGGCTACGGCCGGCGGATCTCGCACCAGAGCCAGGACAGGAAGATCCACGTGTACGGCTACTCTATGGGCTACGGGCGTGCCCAGCACTCCATCTCTACAGAGAAGATAAAGGCCAAGTATCCGGACTATGAGGTCACCTGGGCAGATGACGGCTACTGAAGAAGGCCTGGGCCTTGCCATCTCACAGCCATGCAAGCACTAGCTGTGTCTGCCCTGGCTGCCCTCCTGGGGGACCAGGCCAACCTTGCTGATCCGAAGCACCGTGCTGTTCTTATTGGGCTCCAGAGACAAGGCAGTCTAGGCCCCAGAGCCACCCGCAGGAATTAAAAGTGTGGTCACTTCTGTCTGAAAAAAAAAAAAAAAGAATAACAGATGAACAATCTGTGTATTTGAGTTGTGTTGGAAAAGATTACTGAATACTGAATATCCCATGGACTTAGAAAAGTACGAATTATGTCTCGGAGAAAGTACACCCAGGATTCTCTTTGGAAGCAAGGATGATGAAACTTTGTCTGATGTATTTTGAGTATGTTGCTAGGAGGGGCTGTTCTTGGAAAAGGAAATCATGCTTGGAAATTAGAAGGTCAGAGAAAGGGAAGAAAATGGTCAACAAGATGGATTGACACAGGATTATAACAGTGTTGTGTTGAGTGCTATCAAGTCAAGTATAATCCGTAGTGACCCTATGAATGCTGGATCTGAACCCTGTCCTATCTTGCACCATCCTTGTCATCTCTGACACCCTTGAGCCCATTCCCGTAGACACTGTATCTGTCAGTCCATCTTGTTGCAGGTCCTCCTTTCTTTCACTGACCCTTCACCTTTCCAAGTATGATGTCCCTCTCCAAGGAATAGCCTCTCCTAACATCATGCTCAGAGTATGTGAGACAAAGCTTTGCCATCCTTGCCTCCAAGAATCTCTCTGGTTGCACCTTTCTCTAAGACGTAATAGAGTCAAGTATATCAGAGATAAGGAAGGTGGCACAAGAGAGGGCAAGGTTCAGATGCATTGTCTGTAGGTTGCTATGAATCAGAGTCAACTTAATACCACCTAAGAACAAATAACTGGTGAATAATATTTGCATGCTATTTCTTAATTTGTCATTTTCAACTTTTTATTCAATATGATAATAAAAATACAACATGCTATCAACCACCACTTGCTCCACAAAAAGACAAACCTATTTCTAGTCCAGTAGATCTTACCGTAGTGACTCTGTAGGACAGAGCAGATCTTCTCCAGTGGGTTTCCAAGGCTGTAAATCTGTATGGAAGAACACTGCCACATCTTTGTTCTTCACGGCGACTGTTCCCTCCTTCTCATCCCAAATTCATTGCTGTGGAACCACAACCTACTCATGGCTGATCCTCCGCTGAGTTTCCAAGGCTGCAAATCACACGGATTTCCCAGCTGCTGGTGAATTCACAGCACCAGTCAGGAACAGCAGCCCAGTTCCCTCCGGACTAGGCCACCGAGGCCTTCCTCAGTCCTCTTCAATTTTTCTTCTTCTTCTTTTTTAACTGTGAAATAATACATTTATTCTGATACTACTTTTAATTGTACAATCAATCCATAACCAATTACCAGGTTAATTTTACATAATGTTTCAGGACTGGTTTTTTTTCAGCAGGTTCAAATTTAGGATCTTCAAATTTGAAGGTAGGGAAGGTATTCACGTCTGCTTTACCATACATTTGCTTAAGCTTAAAAAGCTCCTTCTCCGAATCTTGTTGATATTCTGGGCCAACATCAACAGGTCCTCCAGATGCCCTTGCACTTCAGTCCTGAGCTGCCAGAAAGCCACCGCCACAGCCGCCGTCTTCAATTTTTCTTTATATCTTTAAAAAACATAATTATCTGTTTTTGAAAATTCTATGCTTTGACCTCTATTTCATTTGCATCAGTTTTTAGGAAAATTGGGTGTCAGGATTAGATGAGATGAGTGAGTCAATCATCAGGTGCTTAAAATTTACAGGAGCGCGCGCACACACACACACACACACACACACACAAGCCAAGATCAATAGCATTAAGTAAGAGAGGTCAATACTTGTCTGAGGCTCTATTATTATTCAGCATGGAAGGCACTTCCTGTACTGTCCATTTCCCTGGGAATAGCAGTACAGGAAGAACAAAGAAATGCTAAGGAAGGCAGAGGAGTAGCCAATGCATGTTGCGTGGGCCATAGGATGTGGTTTCGGTTCTCCAGGTCCAGGCTGAGTGTAGGAGTAGATGCTTCTGTTCCTCACTTTCTTGTTTGTCAAGTCATCTATTCAATAAAGATTTGTTAAGCACCACAATGACAGAGACACTGTGTTAGAGAGCTGGTAGTCTAGTGGGAGACCTAGACTTTAACCGAGTAAATCACACTGTTGTTGTTGTTGTGTGCCATCCAGTCACCTGCAACTCATAATGACCCTTCGTACAGCAGCCCTAAACCCTGCTCTACCCTGTGCCAACCTCATTGTCTCTGACAACCCTGCCCTGGTTACCCCAGTCATTGAATCAGTCCATCTCATCGAGGGTCTTTCTCTCTTGTGCTGTCCCTCCACCCTCCCAAGCATGACATCCCTCTCCAAGGACTGGTCCCTCCTGGCATCATGTCCAGAGTATGTCAGACGAAGCTTTGGAATCCTTGCCTCCAAGGAGCAGGCTGGTTTCACCCTGTCTATGACAAACCTGTTTGTTCTCCTAGCAGCCCATTGGTATATTCAATACTCTTCTCCAGCACCACAGCTCAAAGGCATCAATTCTCCTTCTATCCTCCCTAGTGGTTGCAGACCGAGGGTAATGTATATTAATAAGTATTGGTAATACTTTAATATTGACAACCACAATTCAAGTCAGGATCTTAATATGTAAATACTTCCAATAAATGATAAGATAATAGAAAAATTTAAACAGATATATAAAAAACAATATAATATTAAATTTGTAAAATCCCATTGAGTTGAACCTTTTATATAAGGTAAGGAAACACAGGCTCAAATGTAATTGGTTTAATTTATTTTCCATTTAGAGCTAATAACGTT